TCAAAACGCCTGCCATTTGATATAAATAAATAAATATTTCGTCAATAGATACTGGAAAGGAAATATAACCCCAGTTAAAATTCGGTGCTTGGGCTACGACATTGTAACAAGTGTTGCATAAATAGCACCTGATAGCACGTAGCATATATATAATTTACTCAGAGTCTTAATTTATACTGAAATGAATCGCTATGTTGGTAGAAAGGACAAAAGAGAACAAGTCAATATCCTCTAAATTTATTCAATTTTGAGTGTACAAATTCTTCATTTACCACGTGAAATAGAAATATATAAAATACACTACTTCAGAATTGTCAATTTTCGTTCTTAGTTTTAACATCTATCGCACTTGCACCGCAAACCATCATAAAGGGAGCATCCTCGATTAAAAACTGATCAGTTTGCTATTAATGTGCTCAAATTTATTCAATTCATTTTAGTAGCAGGTGCTAATTTGATAAATGAATATTATCGTTTTAGCCTTTATTCTTAATCACTACTCCACACGTTTTTTATTTGTACAGGATTAACGTACCCACAATTGTAATTTATTTATTATATCTGCTCGTGCACCAATTTTGCTGAATTTATGGTTAATGCGGATTTTACTACGCCCGCATATTTTTTGACTCAATTACGTTTATTTGTTCCAAAAGGCTTATTATATATTGAATCTTTAGTTTAAGTCTGCACTATCGAATATATAAGGCACGCAAAAAATTAAAATGCTAGGGAGAAAAGACATGTACCAACACCGAATTTAACTAATAAAGTACTATAAATTTCTCAAAATTAAACTAAAACAACGTTAAATATAATGTTTCGGAAAAAGGATTAAAAGAAATTAAAAGCTATTTATGAACTATCGGTGAAAAATATTAGGTTATATCAATATAAAGAGTAATCAGGGCAATGGCATTCAAATAAATCGTACGAAACAACGCGAAATGAAATAATGGGAAATATCGCAATTGAATTCTCCAATTGGATACAAAAATCTGTATTTCGCCTACCAAATCGAATATTTAAAACACAATCAAATTGTGCTAAAACAAATACTTAGGAAGTTTCAGACAGAATAGAACCAAACGCGAACCAATTAATCAGTAAAAATTTTAATTAGATCCTTTTTATTTTTTTTAATGAATATTATTGCATTACTCCAAAATTTTTATTTTGCTTATAATAATATTTAATCAGTAATATTACTTTGTTAGCCAAAATCAAAGCTATTTCATTAAATTTAATTTGTTAAAGCGCATTGATAATTGTGTTGTTATTTTGATATCGTTATTTTGACGTTTTTTGCACCATATGCGAAATGGTTGATAAGGGTGTTTTATTTGGTTTTGACATAAGTGTAAGTTTTTATTTGATTAAAAATGCTTAAACTTCTAGCAAATAGGTCAAAATGATGGGGAAAGGTGCTTTGAGATGGTTAAGGCCGAAAAGTATAAATCTTTAGCACCATCAACCTCAATGTACTGGATATTCGATGACGAAACCTGTCCAGAAATGCTTATGGCCATTCGAAAGGCTAAACATGGTTCGATATTTTCTGAATTTCTCATTTTTAGAGCTTAACCATCTTTGGCCTATTTGTTCCCCAGATCAAAATGTCGCAGAATTAATATTTCAGATTGTAGGGCTTGAGCATGAAATTAAGGTATTCTTCTTTACATTTGTTGCCATTATTTCCCCATCTTAGGTATTAAGAGAGGAGAATGCAAAATTATATGAGTACGTCATATTCAGAAATTAACTATTTTGTCTAGCCAAGTACACGGAGTTACCCCGGATCCTCTGGCTCACAATTCCTTAGATCAATTAATGACCTCTGTAAATGACATTAGCGTGTCTATGGTTTGCGATGAAACTATGACACCGACAAATTACTTCAGACCACTTCCTGGTGTAAATACAATCCTAGCCTGTGGCGAGAAATCTAGAATCGATAAAGATGTGAGTATTTCGTTTACTTGCACTGATTTCTTATTATTTAGAGTTAAGCTCCTTCCTCATTTCTGTTCCTTTAACCAGTATTATTAGATGTGATTTATCATATCGTTCACACGGTATAGACGACGATTAACTTTCTTTACTTAAGTTCTCAAGTTTACTTAGTCAATTTGGAATATTGACAACTCTTCTCTTTGCCTTACTTGGCTTCGAATGATAGAGTTGTATTGAATGACAGAGAATTGGTTTCCCTTCAATTTTTTGTTTAAGCTGTTTTATAGTTGCAATGTGTCAACTATCTGTTCGTGCATATTCAATGAAGAAAATAACAATGTCCACAATTTTCTTTACAAAACGCTTCTCTAAGTTTATCAACAACCACAGCATAAGTAGAATGATATTTTTCGATTGTAAGAGGAAAAAAGATCTGCCAACTGAGAGGGGAACGCGTATTTCATGCATCCTCGTGGTGCGTGTGCTGAATCTGACAAACCAGGGTTCTAGCTTGTAGTACATGAATTACCGTGATTGCATGCGGAGTGAAAAGTCATTGATTCTATATCTCTATATGTTTGCTCTCTAAGCATGGAGTGGCCAATAAGCACAGGTTAATTTTTATCACTTCCTTCTGTTCTTCTCTGTTTGAAATGGGTTTGTGTTCTTTGCTAAAGAACATACCTTCAACTTGAATTAGTGGTTTCTGGGATCCGAAAAGCTTATATATTTTTAACCCCTGGCCAGTTTTCAAGACCAAAAAGCTAATTATATTTAATGCAGTTTGTATGCTGGTATAGACTTTTGTTTTATGAAGTCTGTAAAGGAATAATTAAATTGTTATTATCGACTCTTTGCTAGTGAGATTCAAATAAGAAGGCATTACTTCATTTGTCCGTTAAAGTATAGAAAATAAACGGTCCATCAATCATCAGATTCCCTTTATTGATAAATGGCTTATATGACGGGAGATGATCATTAAGGCTTTGTGTTAATAAGATAGCATGAACAGGTGAAGATGGATTTATGAGAAAGGTGATTCTTTCGTCCCACCGTAAATGACAACTAGGGATCTTCTCATAGCTACAGGGTAGCAATCTTATGTCCCATGACCAAGGTCCAAGAAATCAGTAACACCATGGATCTGTTGAATACCGGATAACCATAAGTGAGAATTTAAAATAAGAACCAAAAAATGGAAAATTAGTAAGCAAGTATCAATTCCCGGTTGTAACTGAGTGTTAATGAATAGGCTGAATGGAGTTTCGCGTCGTGGTGTTTTTGGGTGTTATCATAGTCACTTGGTGCAACCGGGCGGCTGAGTCAACCTTTCCCTTTTTTCATGGTTGTAGGACACAAGAGACTACCTAATTATCCCAGTAGGATTTTGATTATTCCTTGAATCTTTTATTTTTTCCAACTACAGCAGTCAACGGCCCTCACAGCCAAAGTGTGCCAAGGTATAGACCAAATAGCGCAGATGTTCTATGATAATGACAGTGTTCAACAAAGCTGTGATAACGAAACGCTAAATATGGGCGATCAAGCTATGGGTTTGTCTGATCCAAACTCCTATCCACCGTCAAAGACTTCAGCTGGTCTCTGCTCGAGTAATAAGGAGAACTCTCCTCATAAGCCTTGTAAGCTGTTTGTTAGTTTATAAAACTCCCAAAGCCCCTTAAGAGAAATATTCGTAGCGCTTAATTTTGATTAAAACAACATTTTCTTGATCCACCCTTAAAAGAAATCTACCTTTACCAGCTCCTGTTGAGCACGATTAACCTGTGCGGTTGGTCACCCACACAATGAAAAGGGGTTCTGTCGTGTACTTTTTTCTATGACCAAGCCCAATAAGCCTTATTAGCGAGGATTGTGTTTTAGAGTCTCTCTTATTAGGGAATCTCATTCTATACTCCATCTCTAACCATGATTGACCAAACTTAGTTGTGCATTCATAACAGTGGATGTGCTCCTGTGTGCAGGTTTCGTGACTTGTCTTTGCAGGCTTGGACATTGATCACCCCGCCATCAGCTCACTATTGTTTTTTTTTCTAATTAATTCCCTATCACTATTACCATTTTCTCAACGCTCGTCTTGTTTGGGGGGGGGGGGGGGATATCATTATGGGGTCTTTTTAGTAAACTCGAATTCCTCGAGTTTTATGTTTTAACCAGACTTGACCATTTCATTCATTGTGTCCTCCAATTTCTAAGTCAACCTCACCATCTGCGCATATTTAATAGTTGTTGCTATTACCTATGAGAAAACATTTGAGTTCAGGACAACCTATAATGGTTCAAGCAATTGTGCTTAAGGAATCATTTAGAATTAGAGGCTAACATCAAGACTTCAAAGGGGTTTATTTTTTTAAGTTTTGCGATTGCCAGTTCGTCGTTTTTTATTTGATAGATATAATGAGTTCGCGTTCATGGTGTTCTGGACTGACCGGCTTACTGGTTGAAATTCATAAAAACAGGCGAGCTTCCAGCCTAGAGAGACGAATGTTTGATGGGGGAACCTATTTGATTGTTAGCCCTTTCTCAACTCCACGATAAGCTCTGCCACAAGTTTGGAAGTGATCGTAGATGTTAACTGAATATTTTTAGAGAAAATGGATAGAAAACCATATTCTTGTAACGAGTAGGTCAAAAATTTATTAAATAGCGAAATACGCTCAAAACCGATAATTCCCTTAAAGGCAGATAGATGTGTCATAGCAGAATGATAACAAAGTAGAAAACTGGCTGAAATTGTTAAGCGAATCAAGGTAATAGTTTAAAAACATGGCCACTTCAGTACAACTGATTCCAGGTAAGATGTTCTAGTATTGCAGAGTTCAATGTAGTTAAATCACACATTGCCTCTTCTAATTGACTGAATTCTCAGTTCCTATATACATAATGAAAAAATAATGCTGGTTTTTACTGCTTGCTCTCCTTTATAGGTGGCCTGCAAATTTGGAAGAAAGAATCCTCGGCTCAACTAAACATTCATAAGGATCTCCAACCTCCAGAAATTCCTCTTGGAAATCGTCCAGGTGGCCTCAAAATTTGCAAAGAAGAATCCGAAAAACCATTAGGTCTTCAGATCTTCAAAGATCCTGAGGGTGTAGCAGGTCGGAGTGAATTCCAGAGGCCTCTTGCCGCCCGTGCAGCATTAGGCGGCATCCAGCGTTCACCCCCAAAAACCCAGTACCAGCAGCCAATTGGAGATGAGAATCTTGTTCCAAGGTATCTGCATAACGATTTTAATCAGTTGAATCTCACTGGCTCACGGATCGACTTAGTCCCATGTTGTGCATCAACGGCAGTGTTTCAGGTGCCAAAACCTGCTGTACTGCCCTCTCCTATTGCTCCCATTTCTAGTAGTGGCACAAATCGGATTTCACCTCCCACAATTAAACCAAAAGTTGATACGCAACTGGATGTAGTTGCACCCATTCAACCTGCTCCTCAGGTAATTAAGTACTTCTATTCACTTATCATTCAGAAGTTGTGCCTTGGCGTCTTCATTTATTTCCAGGACAGGAAAAATGTAAACCTATATTTATTATCTTGCTAGAGTGGAACGCGATTGAATGTCACCTATAGTAATTACTGTGTATTAAGTTCGGAGTTGATTCGATTGCTTAATTTGAGCTTGTTAAGCGCTCGTGTTTTATAACATGCTGATATATCGACTGCAAAATGCTTCTTAGGCGTCAGATCTATGCAATTTGAGGCCATCCAGTGAGACTAAAATTTCATCGAGTTCAGCTTTTTCATGGACAAAGTTTTCTCTTCATGTGCACTCTTGTAAATCAAAATTGATCCTAATATCATCTCCATAAGGAAATGTACACATTGTAGTGAATAATGGCTGTTATTGTATCATTCAACTAATTGAGTGGGAAATTATTACAACTTCAATATTTTGTAGAATAACTGCAACTATCTTTAGTGCTCCTCGAACAATGTTGTTCAATTTGTCTACTAGAAGGACCATTTCAACCATTGATTAAATTTCTTTATTCAAGCGCTTTATCTCCAGAGGAAATAGTGACAAGTGCATCATGGTCTAAATGTGCTTGCTTCTATTGTCTCCCAAAGGACCCTTGAGTTATATTTTTCATTGTATACTATCATGGGTTTTTTATTTTAACAAATTATCAATTCTTTGTTCTAATAGGCATGCTCTTTAATTCTGAATTAGCACCCAAGCCGCACCGGTTAACATGTCCATCCGTGAAGTCAACGGTCATGGTTTTTGTGCACATTAAGTGAGTGTCATGATCAGCCTCATCAGCTGTCAGCTTAAAAAAGGTCCGATAGAATTCGTATTCCCCTCGAATGATTCTTAATGACACTCTTCAACGCATTGGACTACGCTCTAAGAATTAACCTTAGGGACTATTAAACTTTAGAATTGTCGGTATGTCACTGTTATAATTGAAAGCATTTACTTTGAATTATATCAGATTTTATTTGATGTCTAATTCAGCTCGTCGATTTGAGCTGACAAAATACCTCTTTTACGCAATTGCCGTCAGAACCAGCACACTAATCGGTCCTTTAATGACTGTCGTCAAATATTTTAGAATTTCTTTCGTTTGAGCTTCTTTTATAGACAAACTCTTTGCACAAGTTTAATAAAGCAGAATCCTTGTTTTTCCAAAAATTTTAAACACCCATATTAGCATGTACCGCTTTGTTACGTAGGTCTTTCCTATGCTGCTGTAATGCCAGGTCTAGATTCCAGCTAGCTAGGAATATGAATTTTCTTCACGTTTTTGCTGTTGAGAAATCAAAACACCTTTGGATCGATGACAGTTCTAGTCTGGAGTGATGTGTTTGTCAGTCTTAATAAGTAAGATGGGCGACTTTCAAGACAAGCCTCAGGAATCGCTCATCCCAAGACAAAGCATTAACATTCAGTTGTGAGCTTTGTTTTGTCGGCTTTCCATTTGGTCTTGTTAAGATTCGCTCCTTTATTCCTGCATTTTTCTTCCAGCAATTCAAACAGCAGAGTGATGAAAACGACATGGACATGGGGAATTCAGGCAATGAATCGCCAAACCGACCAGTATCCCCATTGGCCGCGGCGTTCAATCAATTTGTCCATAGTCCCGATAAGAGTGGACGATTGCGTATCGACGCGACTAAATTTATGGAGGCTTTCCTCACAAAAAAGAATAAAAATCCCTCCTCCAGTGCTAATGAACGAAAATGGCCTCAATTGTTCTAAAATCGGTGACTTGAAGATGCATTTGTGTTAGTCTTGTCAACTTTATATTGACCGTTTCATTTAATAATTACTCATGCTCTTGTATATGGGAGTGCATTCGTTTGATTCAATGACAATAGGAGGATTGTTGTAGAAAGAGTAATCTTGATATGGATCGTTTGGAAAAGTGTCAAAATGTAAAGCCTCGCAGTAAATCGAGGGATAGGAGAATGGACCACGGACCATCGAATGTTTACTTCATTCTCTAGTAGGTTGTCATCGTAGTTTATTAGGCCTCATTGGAGGTCTTCATTGTTCCGAATGCCAGCAACTTTTTCCTTACTGTCTAGTGATTGTACTGCCTTTGCCTGCATTCACTGTTAGTGGGATGCTATGCATTGCTTGTGGTACTGTTATATTTTACTCAAAACAGAAAGTTAGTCTGAGTTTCTTTTTGGTGAGAAAAGGATTTTAACTATAAAATCCTATTGTTTGCTTTACTACTAGCTCAGTGGTCAATATACGCAACCCCATGCCTAATAATGATTCTGACGATGTATTTTTAAAACCGAAATACTAATTACATAAATACTAAATTGGCACTGTCAAGGTGAGAATGGTATTTTGAGAATTATTGAATCGTTTCCCTGGACGTTAAAGCTGGTATCTTCCTCCTTTTAGATAAAAAAAAGTACCATAAATCCGTTTCTTCGTACTAGTGATGGACATTGCGCGGAGCTTGTTAGGCTGGAGTTACGACAAGTCCTTAGCTTTTTAACCTTTAACTACTACTTCTACTACAGTTTATTTACTTGGTAGGAGGACAAGCAATTAAAGTTCTCATTTAGTTCAAGTATTAATGGAATAGAGAATGGAAAAGAACTTACGAATCGATAAATTGTATGCATGACATAGAAATTTTAATCATGGAAAGGCAAGCTGGCACAGATATCCACTAAATAGTTCAATAGAGATGAAGAGGAATTCCGAGTTGAGGTTAAAGTCGAGGTACTAGCATGCACCACATGCTGATACTATCCCTATTTCGTAGTTTATTGTGACGTAGCTTTGTGTTTTCCAAAGATATAAATCTTCTTAATTTTAAACTTCTACTGTTGTTATAATACTTCTTAGAATCAGATATTTCTCGGATACAGTTGTCTCAGACCCGTACATTCATTTCACAACACTTTGCTAACCATTTCAATTTGGCTTATTTTCAAATCGACACGTCTGGCAGGAGTGGTTACTGGATAAAAGACGCACAATGCAATGTAATGGCAGTACACGAATGTAAAAAGGGGAGAAATTGAAGTAAAGGAAATAAGAATTTTCGCGAACTTCCTCTGCCATGGCTGCTCATAAGGGCATCTCGGTACCACCCACAGGTGCCGAGCGCTGGTTGGTAGAGAGGAAGTATTCGTGAGAAGAGTAGGGCATGATTGGTAAAACAGCCATTCTGATTAGCTGGCGAAATCATAAGCATTCACCGCTCTAACATCTCGATCCTCATATATGCTTCTTAAGCTACACAAAGAAACAATGCAAATTTGCGCGATACCCAATGTGAGCTCAATAATGGCCCAAATGTAGACGTCGCTGGAGTTGGCGTTCGCTTTTAGCGTGTTGTAGCCACAAATCTTGATTTTCACTATGAGTAAGCACCTAGAGAACTGCGCTACATTATAAAAGAGATATGTTAGTCCCGCTTTCCTTGTTTTGGGTAATCGGAGATGAATGAATCTAGTTGGCGTGACTAATAGTTCAATGTGTCTAGTCATGTAGCGACTGCTTTAAAAATTAGTCAAAATTCAATTTCAATTAGTATTCATTGAGTGCTAGGCCCACTTTAGTACCTTCCTACTCATGCTCAAGTCCATAACAAGCTCGATTTAAATCAACCAGACACTATGAGCATGGTGAATAGGTAACCAACAGAACCAAACGTAAGCCTTTTCGTGGCATCATATATATTCGAGTCGATTTGTGAAATAACCAGTAATCTAAAGTCATTTCTCAGACCGTGCAATGCTTCGAAGGTACTATTTTTGACATTTCATTCCCACTCCACCACCAAAGAAAACCAAACTAATAAAGTAGGCAAGCAATCAAAAGATAAGACAGTAGAAAATACAAGTCTTTTATTAAAAATATGGAACGGGACTTTTAACCAAACCCTTTATCCAGCCGCCAGCTTGGCAATAACCAAATCAACCAGATGCCTTTGTTGATCTGGCAGAAGCAATCTTGTGATCGGTACACCATTCTCATCCTCAGGATTATCATAGTACGTTTCTTCCTGTGCTTCCTCAACAAAACTTGCTTCGCAAGCAGCAAGAACAGCAGTCTCCCAGACAGCATGCCCACAGGCAGCCAACGCAAGCACCGCATTACGTACTCTTCCAACAGCCACTCTCTCGCCCATCATCTCAGAACTCTTCCATGGAGCAGGTTCCGTGGTGGCAATCATAGATCCAAGATGAGCTCCCAAATCCATACCCCTTGCAGGTCCTATCCAAACCAAGCCGTTGCAACCAAGTATCAGGCCAATTTTCACATTCTGGCGGGAAATACCCCGACCCTCGTCGAGCATCTCGCTTGTTCCAACACCCCCCGGAACTACAAGTTGATGTCTGTGGATCTTTTGACGGCGGATGAGACTAGGAGGCAAACGAAGAACTAGGCCTTCACCCAGTCGGCCCGTCCGCATGCCTGGCATGTGGAGTTGAAGGCTTCCGTCACGGTAGATCTCACGGACTTCGGCTACTATCAAATCGCCTTCCTGTAAACGTAGAATATAAAGACAACGTATTCTTTGATTATTTATAGAAGTAACACATAACGAAAATTATTTACTAATCAGAAGAAAGTAGAGGGTGTCGACTTTTATTAACATTTATGGGAAAGTGATCTTCAAAATTTCATGTCCTTTCTGCGGTATCCAACTCCTAAGTGTCTCGCCATATGGTAAATTTCATTCGAGACACGGCGGCATGACAATCATAGACCTCCCTTATTGTCAATTGTAGTTGAAAGTGAAGCAGTAAAAAATGTGATCTAGACAAGATAATTTCCTCGGTGGCTCCACGTTTCCATGTACATAGCTTCCAATACGTTTCACTTGCCATTAAAGGCTTCCTCAAAATATTAATTTCCACCTAAGTCTAAAAAGCGTTGAAAGTGACATTCTGATATTTGAAAATCTAGCTAATTTTACCTTCCACGAGAATTTTGCACTTCTCAAACTTATTTGTAGTAGATTTAGCAAAACTAAGGCATTGGTATCGTGCACAGTTAATGATTACTGCCTAATAGTTGTCATTTTGAAAAAAAAGATATCAAAACCTATCCACTTCATTCACGATTAAAAAGGACATGTAGGCTGATTACGCATCAATTTTGCCTTTGTTTGGGAAATATTCATTATGCCTATATCGGCTAGAATTAAGTAGTACAGCTAGATAATTCAGCAGCTGGGCATGCACAAGAAACCCCTAACTTGACAGATGAGAGGTTGACCGCTACAACAACGATGATATTAAGAGTACATTGAAGGAGATTAGAATCTTACTCTCATGAAAGATCGCATTGCACGTTCATCGTCTTCTGATTTTCGACGCAGTTCTCCTGTTGGTAGCTTCACATTTGCCAAGGAGAGATTAGCTAGCCGATAAGAGTTTACATCAACCTTCCAACGTTTCTGTTCCACCTGTAAAGTAAAAGATACTCGAGTTGCTAATTGCGAATTAATTCGCTCAAATTAGTCATTAAACCAAATTGATATCTGTATTTACGATTTGCCATATATTATAATAGTAAGAATAGCTTCGACTGGATTTGTGAAGTGCACAAGCTCTCGAGCGTGAATAAAGAAATCTCATGCTTCCTCAGACAGACACGACGGTGCGGCAGTGTTACTTATTGCGTAGGGAGCATGTGCGGTCGTGAGCCCAGAGACCTCTCCGCAAACCATCCATCAATAGTCCCCGTATTGTTTAACGAGCCTTCATTGTATTATAGCGACTAAACTCCGTGTCAGTGGCATACAGCCTAAATAAACGTATCCCACGCCATACATCTGTTTCTTCTATAATTTTGCTATAGCTTAACTAACACAAGGAACCATTCCAAACTGGATTTATTAGTGTATCGATTCGCTACAGATTCCACGTTGCTGTTAGAATCCTAAGCACAGACTTGGAGCACTAGATAGATATGTCAAGATCTCAACTAGAGTTCGTTCTAAATCATTAGTTTACTACTATACTTGTGTAATTAGCCAAAATAAACCAATTGATAGAATAATGTGTAATGAAATAACGTCTATAACTAATAGGACTGCAACTCTAATAATTGCATCATTGCCATCACTCATCGACCATTGTGCATGCTTACAGAAAAGAAAGAACTGAATATGATAATAAGAAAATGGTAATAACTAAAAAACTAGGCTACTGAAAGCCAACATCAATTTCAAATGTTCCACGAACGTCATTAAAGCTTGACGTCAACCGCGTAGAATGCTTTCATATATGTCGAATTTAAGCACGAAGAAGTATCATTTAAAACCGCAATTATAAATATATATATATATATATATATATATATATAAAAGCTAGGTTGAAGGCCAGCACACCCTAAAAGCACTACTCATTAGAGATATGTATTCACCTGTTCAGGCTGTTTTTCTACAAAGCTTAGCCAACTAAATACTTATTCGATAATACAGGCTCATGTGAAACAAGTATTCAAAGCCAGTTTAAAACAAGAACAAATCTTTCAATCAGATGGCAAATCAAGAAAGCCTCAATGATGAGCGAAATTCGAAGGGATTATTTGGTTAAAGTAAGATAAAAACATGAGTAAATGAATAAATGGTATCAACTGACCTCAACGATTCTCCCTACAACAGTATCACCAACATTGCCTGAGTACCTTGCATTTGGTGGTTCAACATAAACTAATTTATTTACCGACTTCATACGACCGCTTAATGACGCATACATGGGTAGATTGGTAATTTCCTCTGTCGGGTGTTCAGATTGGTCGGCATTTGAAGATGTGAGCATAGCATCAGTTACTCCACCCATCTCATCTAGACGATAAGTACCGTGACCTGTGATTAGGTTAGCGCCTGATGTGAAGACAACCTCGCCCGGAACTACTATTCCACGAAAATCATTCTCTTTGGAAGATGGTCGCTTAGACCCAGTTAGTGCATGCGCATCCCGGACAAGGGACGGTGTGATCTGAATTGGCATTATTTACTAAAAATAAAGCAAATATTTATAAAAATCTCATCAATTTGCTTCCAACATGTACAGAAATACATACTCCAAAAAAGTTTCTGACGGAGCCATGTGAGCTAACGAAGTAAATGGACATGCAACTTGGCATAAATACATTGTATGTTTTTGTGAATAAATTAAGAAAATATAAATTTACCACGCAACAAATTCTACACTAGGGCGTATTTGTCAGTGTATATGACCTTGAGAGGCGACATTTGATTGGTTCTGTGTGTATCATTAACAATGAAAGCTTCAAAAAATGCTCTTTTAAATTACCTTCATATATGAATTTTAACTACATATTTAGCGTTTGCCTTACTCTTTGTGCTAAATCTATGCTCAAATTTAGTGAAGCATTTAATTAAAAATGTCATACATTTATATATATTATTTATTTCCGATAAAATATAGAGATAATATTTCCAGTTAAATATACTATACATTCATTGAATAAATTTAAATAAAACACATTCTATGATTTTGAAATTTATTTAACTAGTTACAAGCTAAATTGTACTCGTTTAATTAGTAAGCCTAGCTTCAGGCAGGCGTGTAGTATGTCTAGTCTTGAAAATAGGCTAAATAATTTATTTTAACCAGCTTTAATTCGCCTTTCCCGGAACACTCTAAGAGCTAACTAACGGTAGAAGACTGGATTTTTTGTGCTAAATTTGTTGGTTGATCACGATTATTAATATTCGAGCGTAATATAAATAAAGCGATG